TAAATTGCAAGAGAAGATTCTCTTTGTGCATGTGATTGAATTAAATGCAATGTATCGAACAAAGATATATTAAAGACTATATATATTCTTTCAAAATACGTGAAACTAATTATATAAACAAGAGATTAAAAATATAGCTTGCGATACAACTTTAAATTTTATGTACAAATTAATTTGAATATTAATTATTTTATATTGTGCATAAAATTTAAAGTTGTATCACGCCATATTATAATTCTCATTGTTTAATTATATAGTTTTAAGTATGCATATCGAAAGACATAGAGCTATAATTTTCAAATATTTTTGTTCAATATGTTCAATATTCATTTAATTTATTTACATAAGTATACCTTGGAACATTTCACAATAAAAAAGAATTAAAAAATTTAGAAAAAGAGAAAAAACAAATGACTATCTCTTGAATGAACGTATACAGAGTGTCCGATAACTAACGGACCAATGATTAAGGGCAGATTCTCTGGCCAATTTGGAGACGATTTTTCCTTAGCAAAAATGTTGAAAGTTAAAATAATATAAAATAATATAATAATAATAATAATAATAATATAATAATATAATATAATAATATAATAAATAATATAATATAATATAATATAATATAATATATATATATATATATATATAATATAATAATATAATATAAAATAATATAAAATAATTTTCGAGTTATAAGCGATTGAAAAAAATGGGTCTTTTGAAAACTAAACGTTTTGGAGTTAAAAGTCTAACATAATTACATTCTTCAGGTAGAGTTTACTACAATAAAATTTTAATTTGAGGCTTAGTTATAAAGATATATAATGACAAATATTGGAAAGTTGTCAAAAATGATGACCTTTTTTGACATTTTCGCTGAGGAAAAATCGTTCCCAAATTGACCAAAGAATCCATTTGTGATCGTTGATCCGTTAGTTACCGGACACCCTGTATATAAATTGTTGTTTTCGTTGATGTATATCAAATTCCAATTAAAGACTAACTGAGCGGAGGAAAATTCTCGATGAATTACGTTGAATCGGCGTGCGTATTTTATGATTTCCCGTCGCGTCGAGGCGATTTAATTCCGCGCACGGAGGATCAAAGAAAAACGGCGCGGGAAAATTAGCGGCAGGTCGTCGTAGAGGCCGTGAGACGACGCGTTGCAAATCGCGATCGGCAATCTAGAATCGATTAGCCAGGCGAAATAAATACGCGGTATACAAATCGCGAGGCAATCGAAGCGGGAGACCTAATTTGTTGGAAAACGAGAGGAAAGAGAGGCGGATATGCGTGGGAATGCAGAGTCCTTCGACCGGACGTCTCGTCAGGAATTTAGCATTTTTTTTATTCCGGATTTTATTGTATAAATTTCTTTTAAAATCTCTACAAGCTCCGATAAAGGCAGCGTGCTGCCATCTTTTACGAGCACTGAAAAGCACCGGCGAAATCTCGCGTTATCAGTGATATCTCTCACACGTGTATCTTACACAACATTAACAAATATTTATCCACATACCTTCTTGTTGCGATATGCGCAGCAGGACAATCCGTTACCCATGATTCCGGCGATCGATCCTGACAGCAATCTCGATCACCACGTCAAATTGCTGCAACTTTTTGTTCTGCATCGCTCGAAACATTGTTCGCGTCTTTGATCATCATTTCCCTTCTTACGAATATTCTCTTCGTCATTCTGATGGTGAAAACCTGTCTTGCGAAAACCACTGTTTGTAAACGTCATTTCTCTCAGAGCCAAAAATTCACTTTTTTTTTCAATTGCGCCGCATATTTCATTCGTTCCGTAATTTTTCTCTTGTCAAATATTTATCGTTTTATTTTTATGCTGTTTGCCGAAAATTAAGACTTGCACACGTTGCACACCAAGTAGGTTAAAATGGGGAAAAATGCGGCTGCATTTTACCGGCTTAAACGAAGTGCGTTTGCAATTAAGATTTTAATCGCGTGGCTAATTGATCTCGCGCTTGCAACATTTTAATTAATGTTCACCTCAATTTGCCTTGCCTTGCCGCGCCATTTATCTTAATATTCTGTACAATGTTAAAACACTTATCTTATTTTTTTCGATAATTGCGGATTAAATGATAAAGTTAATAATCAATTGTCAATCAGACTATATTATCAATAATAATGAAACATAATCAACTTTAGTATTCCTTTGTCTATTTCTTAGATATTAAAATTTTAGAGATTTTTTTTATAATAATCATCTAGCATGATAATTTTGTAATGATTTATATATTTAACCTAACGATTTATAAGAATTGATGATTGTCATATAAAAATTTTTTCTTATAATAAAAATAGAACATGATGCGCGATGAAGCTAACTATTTTTAGATAATTCAAAGTCGTACTTGTTCGCGCTACTTGATTAGACATCATTATTTATTTTGCTATAAAATTTCCTGCATCTTTTATAAATAATAATTAAAAATCTTGACATGTTTCTCGTTCATTATTCACATTTAAAGATGCGAATTGTTTCATAAATATTTTTTTAATTATATTCAAACATTTCCTTTTATTATTTCGAAGATTTAGAAATTGAAACAATATTATTTCTGAATATATTTTAAGCAAATCTATCGACAATGATTCATAAAGCATTTTCTGTTTCTTTATAACTTGCAAATTATAAAAATATTTGTATACTACAATACAACAAAAATTGTCCAAAAAAATAATAAACCATTGATAAAAACCATAATATTTAATGATATATGTACATATTTATACATATCACCTAGTATGTGTTGTGTTTTCATTCCAAAATATTTTGTCCGGACGAAAAGGGAAGAAAACATAAATCAACCTGAGAGATGAAGTCGGTTTTAAATTTACATTGATTCGCGCTTGTGAAATTTGTAGTTACCATTCACCAATGAAAATATTCAATACTTAACAAATCTTAGCATAAAACATCCAGTACATAGAAAAAACACACAATATGTATGTGCATTTGTTGGTGACACATTCACTTTTATTTTTCCGTATATTCAAATACAAATATTTTTTTTGCAAGCTGCATTTTTTAAATTCCGTTCTTTTTACTAGTTATAACGCTTATGTTTATTAGTAAAAATGATTGATTATATATTTTTTTTTAGAGAGTGTCTTTTACCCTTAAATTGTACTCGACTTGTATCCCACGATCCCACGTAGCGATAGTTGTACTAGAACAGTGGTCACGTTATAATAATGTAATCCGAGGATGAAATAACTCGGCGATATTGAATGAATCAGCTCGCGTGGTTTGCGAGGCACCGTATACGCGCGTGTCGCTAAACTTCCAAAAACTGCTACGCAAAATTGTAAGAAAGTCCTGGCTCACACGCGCGTACCACGCGGACAGCTCGACACGCGTGTCGACGCGTGCGCGAGCGAGCGCACGGTACCAATATTCATATGGCGAGTCACCGCTTTATTTTCCACCGTTACATCACTGTCGTCGATAGCTTCGCATCTCGGCATCGTGCCTTTGCTGTACTGGCCGTCTGTGTCTGACAGGCCGCTTCTTGCTCTTATCGACGCAAAGCGATACTGCGAAGGAAACTGCAACTCGCACGCATAATCTGCATCTCGATCTCTGTAGGATTGCAATGATGCATTGCGATGCAACGCGGGCGATCTGTGTCTAGTCAATTGGTGACGCTTGATACGAAATTTAAAATCGAAAGAAAATTTTTACTTGCCAAACTTTCTTTTACTTTCTTCCAGATTAGTTATATTATATTAAAAAAAAAACAGTAAGTGGATTTTCTCAAATGATATTTAATTTCGCTTCTATTGATGAAGAGTTTTTTTCTTGGTATTATTTATTTTAATATCGTATATATATATATATCAATATATTTTAATATAAATTAATTTTAAAAAAAATAAGCCTTAAAAAATGCAAGAAATTTTTTATGATATATGTATCAGAATAGCGTTTTCGAATTTTGCTTGATTTAATATTCAATATACTTAATAAAAATGAAAAAATATTTAAAATAATATTATTCATGAAAATAAATTAAAACTGTACAATATATCCATCATTATTCACACTTATCTATAATTCACACTTTTAACAGCCTTTTAATAAGCATCAAGATATCTTTGGATTTGAAACTTCTTTTAACTGCAACTCTGTTTTAACTAAAATACAGAATATTTTAATGATTTTACATTTGAAATTAAAATGCTTGAGTATTTTACATTTGAAATATTTTCTTATTTAAAAATTTATAGAAAATATCTTTATCTAGTAATGTTTAAATGAAATACAAATATATTTTAATAAAATACATTTTTAATACTTGAATACTTTATAATTATTTTAATTATTTTTTAATTAACTTATTTAATAATAAGATAATATTTCTTTTATTGATAGTCTAAACGACATATATATAGATATTTGCAAAAAAATAGCACAGATATTATTTTAATTTTAAATCATAAACCTATGTCAATTATATATTTCAGAAGTATAATTTACCGAAAAACGAGTAAGAATTCTTTCTCTTATTTGCATTTTGGAGAAGATACAATAGATTACATATGTACTTAGCTGCCTACACGCAATCTACAATATCTTCCCTTTATCATTAATCAGCATTGCAAACAGTTCTATTAGACCTTATTATTTGGTTCTCGGTTGTTATCCGGACACATACGCACGCGCCGCTAAGTTGCGCTACTTTAATCGGCTAACTTATGGCGTCCGACAGCGCTGCGATTAGAATCTGCCGTGCAATTGTGTGTAACGATATGATAATTTATCTGAGCGAGGTGTCGGAAAATTGGCAAATTATAGCGACGCGCATATAATGTCGCAGAAACGTTTAACTTGGAATATTTTTATTATTCCTCTGTGTGCGAAGCTAGCACATCGTTAAATGAAAGATCATAAATAATTGAGTTTGGGCTTTATTTTCAATTGTTCGAATTCTTGATAGTTTCAATAAATAGTTCTGTATAATTTGTTACAGATAACATTGGGATGCACAGTGCGTGCGTATCGTATCGGGAGTGCCGTATATATAAAACACCGCGTCGGGAGTGCCGTGTAAAGTGTCGGGCGATCGTAATTATTCGCGAGTGCCGTGAGTGCTTCGAAAAACCAAGAGAGGAGGAGGAGGCCCAGGAAGGCATCGGGTGACAGCGAGGCAACTGTGAGGTATGCAAAATAAAACAATTTTTTTCTAAATTGTTACACACACATGTAAAGGTATGCATAATTTGAATATCTTGTTTTCAGAACAATACACTGTGTATACTCCGCTAACTGGAACTCCGTTATTGCGTGTATTGGTGAGTGAGAAATTGTTGATTTTATATTTCTATAGCGGTAATAAGGATGTATGAAACGTCTCATTTCGTGAAAACATAAATAATTAAAAGTTCTAGCTTATTTTTTATTTTCAATAGTTGTAATTTTTGATAGAGTTCTACCTTCTAAAAATAAAAAATATTAATTAAAACTAAATAAACATTAGCAAACAACTTTTAAATTCGAACCGCTTGATTTTCGAGAATTCTGCTTATTACGGAATTTGAAACAAATATTTTATTTCGAAAAACTCATTTCGAATGTAGAGGCGAGCTGATTTTCCACGAAATGATATGCTAGCTATTCCTTTATCTGTTTATAATAAAGCTCTTACATATTTCAAGAGCATTCAAAAATAAAATGCATAAAATAAATACTGACAGAAATATCTGTCATAGAAAATCTTTCAAATGTTATAAATCTAGTGAATTCTTTATTCATTTTTCATTCTTTATTTCATTCACTGAAAACTTGTAGAATTTTTACTTGTTAGAATTATGAAGAAAAAAGAAAAATTATGAATTTTTTCACAAAATTTTACGCATCAAATTTTAAAATAACCTTTTTAATTTAAGCAGATACCTGAAAATAGAAAGATGAGATAGTAAAGAAATTTACTGATATTTTCAAAAAACATGTATAACGATTTATTGTTAGAATTATACTATGACGAAAAAAGAAAAATTACGAATTTTTCCACAAAATTTCGCGTGTCAAATTTTGAAATAGCCTATATAATTTAAGCAGACATCTGAAAATAGGAAAGGGAGACATGAAGAAATTTACAGGTATGTATCAAAACATGTATAACGATTTATTGAGGATCTATCCAAGCATGTTAAATTTCTTGAAATGCAGGTACCTACCTATGTCTACTCGCTAGTGTTACATTAGACGCAATTTCACTCGAAAAAACCGACCGTACATTCGCATACGGTCCGTATCTAATTTAGAGGGAGAGCTGCGTTTTTTGTCTGGAGTCGCGTTTTTTTTCTCTTTTTTAATGATTCTCGCGCCGATCTATCTTTTTTTTTTCGCCGGCACGATCGACGGCCTTGCAAATATAGACGACAGCTAAGAAAAACGACAATATTCGTCACTTCTGATGGCTTACTATAATAATGATAATCTATACATTAAGATCTACAAAAGTGCGACTTAATCTTTCCTCTTGGTCGATCTCGCGGAAGGAAAGGAACAGTCTTCGTCGTGGCCTTTTTCGCGATCGCGAAACGAACGCTAGTGACGCTTACATTGCGCGATTTTTTTTCAAGCGAAATCGTATAACATCGATTTGTAGAAAATATATTACTGTTCGGTTATTTCTCGTATAAATGATTAAAAAGTCTAATTATTTTGTTGATTGAAACGCTTCGATTATTTTTATTATTTATTCAGCTGTCAAATATTATTTGATAATCGTTAATTAATTTTTATATGAGGCAACAATCATTTGATTGCACTTTTTTCAGTGCTCATGTAATATATTTAATTTTTTTAATCGATGTATTTTACATTGCGCGACACAATCGTGTAATGTAAACGCGTCATTACGAGATTGGTCATCGATCGCGATCGTGCCGGCCATCGAAATAAATCTGCGCGTTCGATCAGCTTATAATAGTTTTGATTGCCAGTCTTCGATACTTTGTGTGTTTCTTTTGTGGTCGTTTCTTTCTTGTCTTGTTGCTGTTTCTCGCGTTCATCTCAAGGCCGGATATCGCCGGATATTCGATTAAATTCTCGACAAATTCCCGTTCTCTGCATTTAAAACATGTCAAATTTTTGATTAAATGAAAATTCTTAAAATTTATTTCTTATAAAGATGTATCAGAAATTACACATTTCTCGTGGATTATGAAATCTTTGGAAAAAAAAAACAATTATATCATTACAATGAAATGCATCACAAATTCGTTTAATATGAATAAATATATAATGTAATATATTTAATATAAGCAGACAATTTAGTCGAATATTAATTGTATTGAATATTAAAGTCAAGACTATACTAAATGTTATTATTAAAAAAATATTTCATTATATTTGTCTCTATCCATTTAATAAAAAAATTTAGCAATATATAATTAATTAATAAAACGATTTTAACGAGAAATCGAGAATTAAACCAATCCGACAAAATGTCCCAAGTTGTCTATTTTCGTGATTTTGGATTCGCGCTTTGATTTCACGTCATTCGCGACGCAACTCGTAAATGATTCGGTTCGACTCACGATAATTGCTAATCCAAAAAAGTGAGGTTCGGCTCTACAGCGATGCATGTGCATATATCGAGACGTATTGATCGATCGATCGATCAACATTCAAGAAAAACGCGCCTTTCTGACGAACCGAACGACTAAAAGGGCAGTTCGCTTTGTTTGACTCAATTATTCTAATTACATTTGTTCAATAACGAATTATTGGAGAAGTGCGACGCTTAATTCGTCAGAATCGGCTCGCGAATTCGATATCTTTAGATGTGATTTCCTCCACGAAGATTTACAGCTAGTACCAGAAGAAATGTATGTCTGGACCCGATTTCGTTTTCGCGATCGATATCTAGATGAAAATAATTTTTAATAAAAATATGATATATCTATTTATGAAATTTCTTGAAATTTTTAAAATTAAAAAGTTGAAACACTCGATTATCTTTCTCAAAGAAGCACAGGAGGCTAATGAATATGATAAAGTACAAACAACCACCCTTTTTAAATTCTTTACTGCAATGTTAAATATCGAGAGAATATTTAATTTTCTCTCTTTTTTATTTTAACACAAAAAATTATTTTTTTACGACTTTATGCGAATTATTATGTTTAATATTTTTAATTATTACTATTATTAAAATTGCACATAAATATAAATTGTATATTTCATAATTTTGAAATAATGTCGCAAATCTCGAATTCTCAAGTGGGTTTTAAATGAAATATCATTCATTTTACACAATCATAAGTTATGAAAAAAAATTATTTCGATTTTCAAATTTCTATATTGCATACTAAAAATTTGTTAGAGTATCTTTTCGCGAAGTGTTTCCCTCTCTGATTATTTATCCAAGATCGGAATTCTTTCCCGAAACCGGCCCCTGACATATAGTGCGTAGACACATCTATGACATGTGCACGACAAATTTTCGACATCCGTCGCGATCGACGATCGAGACAGCGCATTTGTCATTCGCGATCGCGAAAAAAACATTCATTTCGAATCTTATTTCGTGGCAAAGATTCGACATTAATTAAATTTCCGCGAGAAAAATCGTTACACCTGTAAATTAATCGGGACATCCGATTAATTATTTACGGTGAGAATGCAACGTGATCTCGATCGCCGGGAGTGACATGTAAGATCTACTTAATTGTGAAAGACACGATTGAATCTATGATTTGAGAAATCGATCTCGAGAAACTCGATAATATCGCGCAAGCAAAACTTTAGAAGATTCGTATATTTTTTTGTACATTTTATTATATTTATTTACGGGAAAATATATATTGCAAATTATTAAAAATAAAAACATTTTTTATATGTAATTCATCAATTCTTCAATTTGATTAAATTTATTAATGTACACATAATTGATTTTTTTAAATAAAAAAATTAACAATTACACCTACTTTGTGCATAAATTCTGAGAATTTAATAATTTACTAATAAAGTGATTTTTTCTACAATAAAATTGAATAAAAAATATGTCGCTGTTAAATCATTGTATAATGAATTATTTTAGCAAGAGTATATAAGGGCGCGAGAAATCGCATCTCGAGAATCTCGAAATCGATCGTCTCTCGTCGACTATACACCATTATACGGAGAAAAAGACTGATACAAAATCTATATCCAATCAGAACCGACACATACAGATAGAATAAACTGCATTTAGTCGTTAGTAATATAGCGATTAGCAGTGATTGGTTGCTTCTTTTCTTACACGTTACGTAGAAGTAGAACTGTGATAGGCATCGACATTACATCTTTTTTTTTTACTTTGTTTCTCTTTACAATTTGTTTCCTATTTACACAATGAGTACATTGCATCTCCGTTATGACTTATCGAGTCTTGTATCACGTGTGTTACGATATAATCTACGATATAATATCGAGAGATCGTGCAGCGAATATCTCATGACGTCTTTTCGCTCGCGAAAAGATACATAATCGTCAAATAACTTTTCGCGATATTATTGGCATCAAATGACACCGTTCCTGCCATATTATTCAGTCAGAATATATATTATTTTATAATACGACGTTCTCTATGCTGCAATATATGTATGATGTGCTGTACATTATAGAAAATACGAAGAAGAAATATCTGATTGCGAAATGTTAATTCCTATTAGAAAAATCTACCTTTCTTATTCTGATAAAAAGAGCAATTTTTTATATTTAAGATAATTATCTGATGTTCTTTCCAAAATTAATTATTTAAGCAACTAAAATTTTTTAATAACGTATAATTTTAAAAATATATAAAAAAGTATAACAAAAATTTCATGTCTTATATTTTTATGTTGAGACTAAAAGGAATTTCATAGTTAGGCTGAAGAAAATTAGAACAATTACGAAAAATATTTTTTCGCGCTCTCTCTCTCTTATTCTTTCCAACTACATTAATTTGAAATAATCTGAATTAAAATTTCGCGACTTGTCGCGTTTTCCGTTCGAAAAAT